GATGGCACCTGCCTGCCCTTCCAGGTAGATGTCCAGCCTCAGTGTGGGTGTTGGAGATGACCTAAGTAGTGACGGTGACCCAGACAAGCCTCTCCATTTGCAGACATAAGAGGCACAGATTGGGCTGTCTTAGTTGAGTTTTGGTATCTTGCAGGTAAGGAGTCTCTCAGTGCAGACTGGGTGTCCGCAGGCACTCAGTGGAGACTATTTACCTGAAGTGAGTTATAAAGACTAAACCCAAAATGCATTTGTAAATATCTGGCTTGTGTTTTGGTCTCTCTTGTTGGGGTGGTTCTGTTATCTGCAAGGAATGCAGCATCTTTCAAAGCCCGTCTCCTCCTTGGTCCCTGTGTGGATGGGTAGGTGGCACATGGCAGGCTCTGTCTGCCATGACTCTGCATCTCCTCAACATACATGGGAGGTCAGCATGTCCAGGCACCCCGCCATGCAAGGTTCATGTCTCACCGTCTATTAAGGGAAATAGGAGGAAGGAGCTGTAATGGGCACCATTTGCAGAAGCTGGAAGGAAATGTTAGCAGTGGCATTAGCCATTCTCCTCTTTTTAGTGATCCAAGTCCAAGGTCTCAGATCAAGGCAATGAGAAAAGGGACAGGACGGAGGAGGAGCTAGGACAATCACCTGATTTGGAGCCATCTCAGGAGCTGCCATCAAGGCAGCGGCAGCAGCAATGCTAAGGACCTGAGAGAAGTCCCTGGCAAGGCAGCCATAGGATCTGCTTTGTGAAATAGAAAACACTGTCTCAGCACAAGGCCAGACATCATCTAGCTGACTGCTGCACCCCCTCATTGCGTCCCACCAGGCAAAGCTTCCTCCTCATCCTCAAGCAGACTGTCTGAACTATCAGAGAAGAAGTCCTCCAGATCCTGCTGCCTCATCTTGGACTCCAGAGCAGTGATGCGCTGCTTGAGATTCATCTGGGCATCACTGTACTCTGTCAGGAGCTGGTCAAAGCGGGTGTCCAGTGTGTCCAGGCTCAAGGCTAGCCTCTCCAGCTTCTCCTCCACACTCTTCCCTTCCATGCTTTCCTCCGCAGCTGACTCATCCAGCAGCCCTTCCTTGATTAGAATCTCCCGGCCACGCTCCTCCAAGATCTTTTTGGCATCAGGATACTCTGTGACTGCTTCCATAAGATCTTCCTTTGACAGGCAAAAGAGATCAGAGTAGCCCAAGCTACGGATGTTGGCTGTGCGCCTGTTGCCCATTTTGCTCCCTTTAATGTTAAGGATGCTGATCTCACCAAAGCAGCCCCCTGCAGTGAGCAAAGCATACTGTGTCATTCCATCATCTGCCACCACAGCCAGCTTCCCTTCCTTGATGATGTACATCTCTTTCCCAATGTCTCCTTTCCGGCAAATGTAATCGCCTGGGCTGAACACCTGAAGGCGAAGCTTCAGCACCAGCTCCACGAGTAGACCTGCCTCACAGTCCTGGAAAATCCTCACCTTCTTCAGTGTCTCCAGGTGAACGTTGATGGCAATCTCAGCCCTTAACTTATCAGGGAGATTTCTGAGGACTTCCTGTTCATCTACTACCTTCTTGTTGGTCCACAGGTAGTCAAACCACTTGATGACTTTGGTTTCCACGTCTTTGCTCACCTTGCGGAACTGCATGTAGTGTTTGATGGCGTCAATTTTTGCCTGAAACTCTGCCCTGGTGGCATTCATGTTGGATATCATGGATCCCACATTCCCCACAATGGTGGCAAAGATAAGGACACCAATGAGGAAATCAAAGATCACAAATAAGTACTCTTCATCACGCACAGGGGGAGGAGTCTCTCCAATGGTAGTCAAAGTCAGTGTAGACCAGTAGAGACAGTAGACGTACTCCCGGGTCAGATACCCATATTCAGGGTCTGTGACATTGGGATAGACCCAGGTGTCCTCTCCAAAGCCTATGGCCTTGGAGATGGCATAATAAATGCATGCATTCCAGTGGATGATGACCAGGATGTAAAGAACCAAGTTGCTGATGCGGAAGATGTTGGGGTGGCTGGTTCTGGTCTCAGTCCTATCAAAGAACTCAAACATGCGGGAGAAGTGCAGCAGCCGGTTGAAACGCAATTCAGGGCAGTGCAATCCCACAGCAAAGTATGCCAGGTCTGTGGGCAGGATGGAGAGAACATCCAGCTTGAACTGTAAGGTGTGGATGTAGTTATCCCGTAACTTCTTCAGGTCCTTAACCAGGAGGCCCTGTTCCAAGAAACCTAACAGAGAAGCAAATGATAGAATTATCTTGGCTTATGTTCAACTCTTCTGCAGGCTTTGTAAGGACTTCTGAGAAACATTTTATGGTATGCCATGCACATGTGTGCATATATACACAGGGTCATACAAACATTACCAGTACCACCTGATCTACTCAGTTTACAAGCTTTTGTTATCACTCAAGCCCCTCATCTGGCAAAAGCCACCTAAAGATATCACTTAGGGATTTACTTGGTTGCCATGAAGAAATGGGGACACAAAGGTTTTCATCTTCCAGATCATGAATTATTGCAGTTCCGACAGAAAACGTACAGCCGCCTGCCACATTCCAAGAACATTACATTCTACCATTTTTCCATGTAGATAATTCATTAGCTGAACTGGTGCAAAATCAGAGATACAGACCTTCAACTATGCCCGAATACTAATAGTGATGCAGGTAATTTTGTATAATTATTCAAAGGTGAAGTTGAAAGCTGGGACGATTAATCTTTCATTCTGAAACTTAATCCGTTTCTCAGATCTTTTAATTAGATTCTTTCTCTGGAGACTGTTTCATACTAGCAAGTGCCAAGGTAGACAAAACCCTTCTTCTAATGGAGCTGCAGATTAGGCCTCTCCCTTGCAGCTCATCTCCACTGTTGGGGGATTAAAGCAAAGCACTCTCAAGCCAGGATGCTGCTTCTGCTTACCTGTGTGCAGGCGGATCACTATGTCCCCAATGTAGATGGAGTCTGAGATGTAGTCTAATACCAGCCAGAGGACAACATATGTCTTTTGCAGGTCACTGAAGCAAGCCCTGGAAGAAGGTCATAAAATAGGGTGGTGAGACCAACAAATCTCTGTACCATCTCCAACAGCTGAATATAGGCTGATTCTGAGGCTCCTAACTCTGCAACAGAGCTTGGCCACTTGCCCCTCTTCTGGAAATTAAAACCCCCTTCTCTGAAAAATCTGCCCTCGCTTGACCTAGGTAAAGCAACATCTTGAAACCACCTCCCAAATGCACCTTGCAGCTTTACCCTGAAATCGTGGTCCTTTCCAACTGGCAACAGAGGATGGATGCTCTGCCTTTGCACTGCAGAAGGGTCCCTTTCCTTTAGGTTCCCACCAGCCCCAGCACCACCAGTGTCAGTTGTCTGATCCTGGCTGAGCCACAGCAACCAGGTGAACAGGAGGATTAGAGAGACAGGGACCCTACAACCTCCCAGCTCACCTGGCTACAAGCAAGCACCAGTTATAGAGGACAGGAACCGCAATGACAGCCAGCCAACGGTAATACCAGTCCCCTGCAGGGTCCACGACAAAGATCTGCCATTTCTTCCTGGAAGCAGAGAGAAGCCAGAGCTGGCAATGTATGAATAAAGGGCTAAACATAGAAAATAGGTTTGGAAGGAACCATCCGAGCCGCATCCTTCATCCCTTGCACTAGACTGGCTCAAACATAGCTGCAGCTTGAGTGCCAGTCTGTAAGCTAAAACCAGTCCCAGCAGGGCTGAGCAAAAATGTCCAGCACTCTTTAAGCTCCTTTATCCCCAAAACTGGGCTCAGTAATGTACCAGAAGAGGAAACTGTAAGACAGTAAGGCAAAGCAGGTGTCCTACATGCACAGAGCACCCCAGTGGCAGAGCCAGAAACAGATGTATGGAAGAGGGTGATCAGAAAACTTCTCATTACATGATATTGCCTCTCCCAGATGAGGTACAGATTGGTGCCAGACAGATCTTAGAGGAGATTAATTAGAGCAGGAAGGAAAGTGTGCTGCAGATCAGTGGGAGCACCAGGAGGGGATGCCCAAGCCCCAGAACAGCGACCTGGGGGCCAGCTGGCATTGCAAGGTTGCCATCACCATGCTGCTTGCAGCTGCCTGCCTGCAGTCTGCTCAGCCCTGGGTCCAGCCTTTGAACTGCTCCCAAGTGTTTGATCCTGCTCATCTTGGGACTCTGAGATAAGATGTGTGTACTCCAGTCACCAGATCTCACTGGAGAAGCCAGGGAAGAGAAACTCTGCAGCTGGGCTGACAGGCTTAGCTGCTGCAGGGTGGTAGGGCAAAACTCCCTCTCCCTCCTTCCCTCCCTTCCAGCTTTTGAACATGCAAAACTCCCTCCAGTGATAGGAAAAAAAACAACCCACTTGCCAACAGATTCCCTGTGCCCACCCCACTGCTTCTGACAGCTTCAAAAGCAAACTCTGCCTTGAAGTCTCCTTCCCCAGCGGCACAGGCAATGGCACCTGCAGTGCCCAGAGCATGGGGACTGGCACTAGGCACAAAGCCAGCGGCAGTCCTTCACATTTGCTCTGGGTACAGCCACAGACAAGCGGGTGGTCCAACCTGCCCATTAAAAGCGTGTGTCTTTTGCTCAGAAAGTGTGGCTTAAATGCTTTTTGAGAACGGGACTCTGCTCCCTGGGACACACAGCACAGGAAGCACTGACTCACCTGCAGCCACCCAGTACTGTTGTAACACCCACAAGCGCTAATAACCTCAATAACGGTTTTAATTACATTGGTAATTTCAGCTTTAAATCAGCAGTGCTGCCCATGGCAGGTGGCCAGAGTCACTGACATTACGCTGAGAGCGGGACCAAGGCTGGAAAACCAGGGCTCTGGGTTAACCCAGGAACAGGGAATAATCATCTGCCTCTTCCTGAAGGCTTTGCACCCAAGCCTGCAACCATGGAGGCTCCCACAGCTGTGAACAGCAGCTCAGTTACCAGACTTGGGGCTCTTCTTACCTGTGGAGCTGAGGACCTAAAAAACAGCATGTTACCACCATCTCCCCAGGAGCCCACTGGCACCGAGCAGCCCTTTCACAGCACGCTTCAGTTCCCTCCGATAATTAACAAGCTCCCCTTAACCTTGCAGGGCAGAACGTTTTTTTCCATGACTAGTAAAGACCCAGATACAAGGCTCAGATATTTTTCTCCTACAGAAAACAATTAATTTTTGGTGTTTTAATTACCATGTATAATGGTAGGGTCCAGACTAGTCTGTGACCTTTGCCCTTTAATTAGCCAGCAGAAGAAAAGCCAGGTTATTGCTTTTCACTGGGAGTGTGAGCTGAAGAGATGAAAGGGCTGTATTAGAAAGAGCCTTTTCAGAAAGCTGCCGTCGCAGTGTCTGCTCTTGGGGGGCATGGGTAGCAAATGCACTCCCTTCATCTCCTTCATCCTGCAGATGATGAATGAGACTGGCAAATCCCATGTGTTTGTGCTTGCTGCGGTCCCCTGGGTGGAGACCCCACATCCCTTGGCTTGTCCCCAGCTCCTCATACGCACAAGCTGAAGGTGCATCTTTTTACAGACCCAGGGTTGGCTCCAAATGCCAACCCTAGTGTTGAACTGCTCTGAAAATGGGGAGGTCTGCTGGCTGTCACGAGCCATGCAATGTGTGTTTCCTACCAGCACATGGACCAGGGGAGAGATGACCCCACGGTGAGGGACAGGCCATGTCTTTTCCACAGGGACAGACTACCAGGTCCTGTGCGCCTGCACAACTGCCTGGCAAAGTCAGGCTGGCTGCCAGGACAGGGTATGGAGAGGTTAGGGAGGACCCTTCTCACCACTGCATCCTACCTCCCCCTTTCCCATCCCCATCCACCTCCATTAGACATCACTGCTGGGAGCCCCCGAGCACTGTGCGTAGCTGATCTCCAGCCAAGGACAGCTGGAGCCACAGGGAAGGGACCCTACTTTTTGTTTCCCTCTTCGGTCTCCTCATCCTCTAGATCATTGCAATCGCCTGCAGCCACTGTGTGGAGCTCGGGGCCCTGGAACCGCTCGAGGAAGGGGTCTGGCCTTTGCTGCTCCTCATGCAAGCTCTTGCTGGCCCAGTCCCTCAGCACCAACACCAGCCGGACTATCCTGAATGGGGGAGAGAGGCAGAGTCAGGAGGTGTCTGCAAAGCAAGGAGAAGCAAAAGCTTGAGAGCAAGCAGGGAGGCTACAGCTATGAAGAAAATTCTCACAGCTCCCTCTCAAGCTGAAACATTTCCTTTTTCCCCCCTTGTAGTGATGGTATGGGACCAAGAATATACAAGCAAGAGAGCCCACCATGGCAGAGTCCCACAGCTCCTTCCCTAATCCTGCTGCCGTTCCCACAGGGACATGAGGAATGTGTGGGTGACTGGGGCAGCATGAGGCTGCCTGCAAGGGAAAGGAGCCCCCAAGCCCTCCTGGAGCCACAGAGGTGATGGAGCCGTCCCCTCCCACAGCCCTCTCCATGGGCACCGGGGCACACAGAGCAGCATTCACAGACAACTGGTCCCTGCAACACTTGAATGCAATACAGCAGGACAGGATCCGGACCCCATGCAAGTCACCAGTGTCAAAGCCAGGCATAAAAGGCTCAGGCTCACCCTGGGCCAGTGGCACACACAGGTACCTGGCCAAGGCTTGCCTGCCCTGGAAAGCGGAGGCAGCCGGCTGCTCCCCACCATCTGGGGGAGTCCCTCTCTGCATCTCTGAGGAGGTGTCATCCTGGATTGAGCAGGTCCTGCAGTGGGGAAGAGAGGCGGTCCCAGCCACACCGTGCCATCGTGGCACCTGCCCACAGCCAGACAAACTGGAGGAAGCAGGCAGCTGAGGTTTGGCATCGCAGCCCTGCCCACACCGGGTCTCGGCAGACACACCGAGCTGGCCCTCCCCACCCCGCCCCAACCACACCAGGGACCAGCCTGACCTCCTGGTGCTGAGCCCTGTCCCCTCTGCATCACCCTCCACTCGGGCTTGGGCGCGTGGGCAGGGGCGGCGGTTGGCAGGTGAGCTGCGCGGACTGTTACTCTTGGCCATCATCCTCCATGTGAGGAGACCACGGGCGCATACCCTGCCCCAGAGACCTGCAAAGAACAGAAAACAGCCACAAGAAGAGTCATGCAGGACACATCACATGGTTTGAACACAGAGATACGACACAGCACGGGAAGAGACAGGGTCAAACCCCACGGGATGTGCCCACCCCATGTTTTCCACCACCAGCCATTGCTGATGCTGCAGTAAGAGTCCTGCAGAGCATTTTGCCCTCCCCAAGAGATCCCACATCTGCTTGTGGCCCATGAAAAATGCTCTCCTCATCATTCAGGCTCCTCGGCTATTGCCGGGGCAACAGCATCCCCAGTGAGCCGTGCCATAACAACGAGCCCACGGCTCTTGGCACCACTGCCTGCCCAAGGACAAGAAAACAGACTTGTAAGGGATCTAAGCAGAAGGCCAGCCCTGGTGGGGAGATGCTGTTGTGCAGCAGCACGGGATAGATGTTCCATGTACAAAGGTGTTTGCACCTGAGCAACCACCCTCCTACCCCAGGGCCCTGCAACCTGCTGGTGGTCTGCCCAGTGAGCCCCACCTCTCGTCACCACAGAAATCTCCCCTGCATTACAAATTAAGGTTTGCTATTTAAAAAGAGACTTGCTGAGGTTCCTACTGGCAGGAGCTACCACCTGGTTTCAGAGAGCAGCAGAGAAGACTCTACATTAATACACAGAGGCTGCTGTGGAGTGTGGGATTTCACCGGGGTTTGTTTATCTAAAAAGCAAGAGATGCCCATTGGGCTTGCCCAGTCCCAGCATCACATGCAGCCATCACTGTTCTGCTGAACCCTAGTACAGACCACACCATACAAAAGCACCTTGCAGAAACACAGATTTGCGCATGCATGGATGCAAAGGCATACAGGCACTGCCCAGCCCTACCTAGACCACGTATTCCTACCCTGGCTGCCCTGCCTGCTCCCGCCGGCGCACAGTACACCCTCCATACTCGCAATGCACAGATGAGACAGGTTGCTGGAGACAACACGCTCATGCTCTCACATGGTGCATGTGCACAAGGCTCTGCTTGGGGGAAGGCAATGACTTGTACACCTCTACCAACACGCACAAAGACTTACATGCACGCTGCACGCACAGGACAGTCACACACGCCCAGGCAAGCCACCTCCCCAGGGCAGCGGAGCTGTTGCTGAGAAGCCACCACCATCCACTTACGAGCCTGGCGTCCCCCGAAGCCTTCAACACTTGGCTGCTGCCTAATGCAGGCTAGCAGGGGCGGCTGGGGAGCATCCCTCCCCCAGGAGCCTCCTGGGCTGTCTCCGCAGCACTCAAGCTTTTAAAATGTGTGTTGAGCTGCAAAGCAAAGCCAGCACAAGCAGAGCTGCCTGCGCTCCTGCCCTTCTCCCCTGCCCAAGCAGAGAAGCAGGCAAGGTGGCTGAGCAGCACCCCAGCAGTGGCAGAGGGGTCTCCGTGGTGCGCAGAGAGGATGCACACGCGCGTGTGCGCCTGTCTCGTCACTACAGCACGCCCATCCCCTGAGCATCCTCGACGCCCTGAGCAGCAAGGCGCACTTCAGATGAGTTAATAGCAGCCAGCTTTGTGTCTGGGGGATGAAAGGGGAGGAGGGAACCATGCCGCTCAGGGATGCTCCATTTCCCTACCCACGCACCCTCTTCTCCCCCTGCCACCTCATCAGTGGCTGGAGGGACCTCAGACATCTCTCAGGGCAGAGCCCAGCTGGAGATGGCAGCCATCCTGAGCAGCTTTGGGTCCAGTGGCTCCTGAGTCCCCAGCAAACCTCAGGGAAGAGTCACGGGGACAGGCACAGCCAGCAGACCCCCAGCTGGACTCAGGTCCTGCTGCACAAGGGGATGCACCTGGATTGCCCCCCAGGCCACCTGCTTCTGCTCTCTGCCCTAGGGAAAAACAAAGCTGGTGACTATTTCCCTGCTTCACAGGCTTTGCCACAGCTACTGCTATGATGAAAAATTTGGAGAAGTAGCCACACTTTAACACCCTCCCATCCAGTTACCTCTTCTCATGCCCAGTGAGCACGAGACCAAATGTGCTGCTCTGGAATCCCAGCGAAGAGAGCTGCAGAGTTTGAAGATGATCATGAAATGCATCTTTCACCAATTTCTGCCCTTGTATTTTGTTCACAAATGCATTCTAACAACCAGGTAGCAAAAAATTTGCATCCCCAAGGCAATAAGGAAGAGCTTAATTTTTACCCCCTTCCTCCAGCATCTAGCCACTTGCAGTGGCTGAGGCTGGATCAGTCCCTGCTGTGCGCATGGAGTCCTGCACCATGTGCAGGGCTGGTCTGAAAGCACCAGCACAGGGAGTCCCTTCACTGTCAAAAGTTTACCTTTTTTTTTCTTCAAAGCCTTAAATTCCACTTGTTCTGATCTCACTGAAAACCTGGACAGCAGGGAGCCCAAAGGAAGAAACAGAATTTTTGCAGCATTGGCCGGGGCTGCTGGCAGCATTGGGTGCTGCCTGGGCGAGCACCCAGCAGCAAGGGACACATCACCCTGCTCTTGTCCCCACGCCACAGACTGTGGCACTGAGGACAGCTCGCACGCAGATCAGGAGCACTGACAGCAGCATGTGTCCCCCTTCCACCTCTCCTTTTGCTCCCTGCCTGCAGCTGCCTTCAAAAGCAACATGGGAACTCCAGGAGCTGCTCCCTCGCAGCTCCCTCGAGCACCTTATTGCACAAGACACTTTACTTTCCATGCACGTCATTGTGGCAGTGACCCTAGGAGACACCCAGCCCTGCCACGTGTGCTGCCCTGGGACAAAGAAGAGCCAGGAGGAGAAGGCAGGGAAGAGAGGAAGGAAATAAATAAAAGCATCGCGCCCCAACAGGGATGGTATTAACCAGAAACTCTCCTCCTCCAGATCCCACCCCAGCCAGGGTGGCTGGCATGCATGTTTTATACCAGCAGTCTAAACAGCCTGTACCTCTAGAGATGTCAGAAATCCAGCATCTGATTAAATAAATATGTGTGGTTGAGACATCCAGCACCAGGTCAGAGTCCTGCAGCCAAGGGAATAAACCTTACCTTTTCCCATCCACCAGGATACCAGGATCAGACTCTGTGGTTGGTAGAAGAAACATGTCCAGAACACCCAGAGTTTATTAAAATAAATTTTATGGGACAGTGTTTCCAGATTTACACCAGCATTTATGCCTTACATAAAAGTCATATTGTCATCTCCCCTGCAACCTGCCAATAATTAGCCTGTGACAACACATACAGTTTGATCACCTCTCCTCCAAATACCTTCAAGCCACACTTTGAAGGTGGAGTGTCCTGCAAAGGGTCAGCTCTTACCCTAAAATACACCTATTAAAAAAAAAAACCCACAAGCTTCCTCCAAAACAAATTTGCCCCTCTCAGAGAAGAGAAACCAGCCAAATGATTTACCTACTTCCCTGAACAAGTCACACAGCAGCAGCCCCCTTATGCAGACCTGTTGTGTAAGGTCCCCTGGTAACCCTGACCGCATCCCTGAGCCACAAGCCACAGGAACCAAACCTGCACCAGTGCTCCCATCCCTCGCATACACCCGGCCACGGCACAGCACACCAAGCCCACCACTCCACCCTGGCTCTCATCTGCAATAAATCTCAGCCATCTCCTCAGCTCAGCTATCAGGCACAGGTTCAGACCTGCAATTACTTGTGGGACAGTTATTTATTAGTCAATGTCCAGCTGCCAGATTTACAGTCACAGATGCTTGATGCAGTTGCAGGCAGAAAACACCCAAGCATCCATGTCTGTAAATAAGCTATTGGGACATCTGGATGACCTGCAGATCCAGCTACAATTACTTACAGGCGGAACAGAGAGGTCCTGTTAGGCCATGCCAAAACCTGCCCCCGGAGCCTGAAAGCACAACTCCAGCAGATGTGCTTGGATGAACCACCAAAAGCATCTCAAGGTCACCTCAGATCCAAGTGTTACTAAACTCCACGGAAGGAAAGAAACACCAAAGCTGTTCAACTGGGCTTGTTTTTAGCTGAAAAGCATCTGGGCCAAGAATTCTCCTCACCTGTCGTCTTGCACCATCGCCGAAGTTACAGCTTGGAGGCAGACCTGGGAGCGATCCTGCCCTCTGGCATTGGCAACCTAACAAATATCTACTGCTGCCCAAATGGGCACTTTTCCATGGACTGCCTGGCGCTATCACTGTTGGTACAAGGTCTTATAATCCAGAGAGTCACCATGGGGAGGTTTCCCATTTAAATCTCTCTGGGAAAGAGCCAAGCTCCTGGATAAGCCCAGACCTCAGCAACTCTCTTATAGTCACTTTGGAAGTGAGCATTTGCAAAGCCGCTGCTGAACTGCCTCCAGCAGGACAGGAGCTGAGGAGACAGTGGCACAGCAGTGGCTGCAGGGATGGGAGCTCCTGGCTCCTCCAGCTCCATGCCTCCTAGAGCAGGGGGTATGGCATAGCAGAACTGGCAGTACTACCTCCACCAAAGAGCAGCTGCGCAAGGAAGGAAAGAAAACCCACCAGCAGTTTAAAAACACTCAACTACTCTACACAAGCTTTTGGGGTGCAAGATGAGGAACAGACCACAGCAGCTGGCTGAGGACTTTTACAGGGCCAGAACTGAGTGGTCAGGGAACTGGGCCCACCACAGGCTAAGACTGTGACAGGACCCCATGTCTGCAAACACCCAATGCCTTGGTTTTGCATCTCCTCTGGCAGACAGCCCAAGGGCCAGAGGGTCTCCCGTTGCTTTGTGCAGGACAGGCACTTCCCGTATCAGCCACCAATTTCATAAGAGACCTAGGCTCTTCACAGCAGCTTCCCACACAAGTACTGACCCCCTCAAACACACAAGGTGGTTGCTAGTGTACACAGCGCATTTGTAGCCATAGCCCAGCCCTGGGACCACACCTGTTGGGCCATACTCCTTGTACCCCACCTCTCCCTAACACCCGTCTCCAGCTGCTGTGGCACGAGGTCCAGCTTCATCGTTTCCCTCACCCACCTCTGACGCTAGAACATGGGAGAGGGATGGCACCTTCATTGTAATCGGGGCCTAAAGGAAACAGATCCTCAAGGGCCTGCAGTACAAAAAGCAGGTCAAGTTAAGGAGAAACATGTAGTTTTACTGTTTGCAAGTACACGAGCAAGGATTCTCTCCCTGCCCTCACCCACCCTGCCAGGGGTGGGCAGGGGAGGTCAGGGCACAGGAAATCATCTTCTCAGCCAGAGCCACGTGTTGATGAGGCAGGCGGAGATCAGCACGGAGTAGACCAGGGCCTCCTTCTGCCGCCAGGCATTGCACTGCTCCTCCAGCACGCGGAGCCTCCCCGAGATCTTTGTCAGCTGCAAAGGAAGCAGTGGGGCCACTGTCAGCCCTGCAGCAAAGTGCAGAACACTGGCTACACCCCAGAGGCATGGGACCACAAGGGATGGAGGGATGGGAGCTGCTGTCTCCTTCAGGTCCTCCTTTTCTAGAGCAGCAGCTATCTTTGTGTGGGAGAATTAGCAGTACCTCAGCTCCTTCCCATCAAAAGAGCACCTGATCCCTTTACTGCCAGTAGATGGAGGGGTCTGGCTGTCTCCTGTAGCCCTATGGCTCTTCAGGGTAGGAGCTTGATGGGTCAACACACATGTAAGTCCTCCCCTGCTTCTCCATTAGCAGCATCAGCTGGGATTAGCTTGGCAACACCAGCCCATCAGGACTAAGCATCAGACCCCTGGAGCCTCCTTACCCACCCTCCTATAGCTTTTCCAGGAAACTTTTGCAGCCCTTCACCCCCGCCTCACCTGCTTTTTCATTGCTGCCATCTCAGCCACCCCGACCTCCTCCAAGGCGCTCTCTGGGGCTGGGCCAGCCTCCTGGGAGCTGGGGAAGAAAAACAGAGATGCAGACGGACAAACACTGCTCAAGAGGTGCAATTGTCTTCCCGCACTGCCACTGGGAGCCAAGCCATGCAGGTAGCGTGCGCGCGCCCAAGATGTGCTGTCTGGATGCAGCATCAGGAGAGAGGTAACAGCACCTGCACAGCATCTACTCATCTCTTCTTAACCCCCATCACGCATATTTATACCCCTCCAACATGCACCCCATAGTGATCACAATAAAACATACAGCACATGCCATGACAGACAACAGGAACAACACATGTTTGTGTTTCTTTAGAGGTCCAACAGAGGGAAAACATGGTATTTACCGAGCATCCATTCTCTACAGTCAGAGGAATTCTTTGATGGTTAGATAAATCATCTTTAGAGCCAGTCAGGTAAATATGTATCACAGGGCCAATGCCAAAATGGAGGGATGATCTCATTTACACCAACAAGTGAGGATCCTGCTGGTGGGAAGCAGCCATCAACTGGGGGGAAAACTATAATCAAAACTCCCCTATGCAAACCAATAACTCGCACGGGCACTTGCTGATACCGTACAGGCTAACAAGCATCTAACACCGATCCTTTGGAGACCTTCGGGAGGGGAGGGTGTTTATTCCTGTTTGCAACATGACTTCGATCTCACTGAAGACAAGCCAGAACAGCATGTGGAGATTCAGTGAATCTCTATCTGAAAAAACATTTGTGAGATAAAACCTCCATGTAATGTAGCTGCGGTGTAAAATGAAAGTCACAGCAGAAAGATAATCCAATTTTCCCCAGCACAGAGGGACACATCCTGCAGCTTTTGACTGGAAAATCCCAGTTGATACAGGTGAATGCCCTTTAAAGACTAGAAATTACCTTCCAATGACTCGTACCCTTCAAGAGGTCACTGTCAGGTAAATATTCCAGACTCTCTCTGAGTCCAGACTTTTCTTTACTAAAATTTCAGGACAAACAAGTCAGGTCAGTCATGTTTTTACTTTTATTGTTGCGTAGGGGTAAAAAGTTGTCGTATCGAAGAGATACCACATGCATCTGAAGTGATGCAAAGTACCAAGAAGAGGCGTTTCAAGGTGGCTGGCTCCAAAGGGAGCCTGAGACCTGGGGAGAGGCCTGGGACTCACCCCACTGCACTACAGCAGCTCCACAAGCTACCACCTCTCATGGTACCATGGCCTAAACCTCCTCTGCTGCTGATGGGAGGAGGGAGAAAGCCTTACATAGCCACTAACCAGATCTACTGGCATGCCCAGACCTCATTTAAAAAAAAAAAAAAAAAAGCTACATTTGAAGACAGTCAGCCTACTGTGGTTAAAAGCAGGGACACCACTTTGCATTGTCCGCAGGCAGAAGCCAGCTCTGCCGCCTGCACCTCCGCACCAGCTGGGGAGGAAAGGCAGGATGTGCCACTGATGATGGATGCTCACTCTCCTCCCTTTCTTTCTGCCTGGAGGCTTTGCTCAAGGAGAATTAGAAGTATTTAGATGTTCCTCCGGGTGCTCAGCAGCCTTAGAGCAGTGGGGACACCTTAAGGCTGCAATGATGTCTTTGAACATGTTAAATTTACCACACCTGCAGAGATAAGAGTGTGGTGGAGATAGTTGCTCCAGCACATCCAGAGAGACTGAGGTCATTGCATAACTGCTCCAGTGAGCACACAGACATACTGCACCCCAGCCAGAGGCATCGGCTATGGGATGAGTAACTCGCTGCAGCCAGTTCATGGAAAAGGTTAATTAAGAGTGACCAAGGTACAGCCAAGGGTGCTAGGAGCCTGCAGGAGAGGGTGTCTCAGGGACAGGACCTGGGTCAGGCTATCTGTTCTGGATTTTGATTCCCTTCACACATTTCTCTCCATCAAGCTATCAAGGCATGCAGAAAAATTAGCACTTGCTTAGCAGTGAAGAGCAGCTGAAATCCCAGCAACGTCACAGGTGGCGTTCGATCACTCCGGGTGCCTGGGAGACCAGTGTTAAGCTAAGCAGGAGACACAAGCTGGGCTGGGTTAGCAGGGTGCACCCAGGCTGGCTGCACCAGGCACTCCTGGCCGGGCACCCGGAGCTGGCGGACAGGACAGATGAGGAGGAGAGTCTGAGGCAGCCACGCAGGACCATCCTGCTCCTGCACCGTGCAGTCTGTGGTTTACAGAGCTCATGCCCGGCTCACGCCTTAGCAAGGCAAAGGCAAGTCCTTGCAGAGTGACAGGGAGGTGGCTCAAGACGAGCCAAAGTCACCTGGATGGCACTGGGTCTTGCAGAGAGTCCTGGACACGGTGGAAGAGCACCTGGCCCAGGAGGTACATGGTCTGGAAGATGTTCTGCATGGAGTAGATCCTGCCCGTCCCTGCGAGGAGGGGGAGCGGGGCACTGCGCGCGGGCAGGGGGCACAGGTCTGGCCTGGGGTGCACATAGAATCACGCCTGTTATTTCCTGGCCTTGTACAGCATGGGCACAGCCTGGCATTGGGCGGTGCCTTTTGTCCCTTCAGCAGCTCCAAGCATGGAGCAATGCCATCTGCACCCAGACCCCAACATCACCAGGTGGGAGAACCCCCTCCAGCAGCCCCCAGGCTCAGAGGCAGTCGACCAACTCCTCCAAAGCCAACCACAGCTGTGTGATAACTGGACCTTCACCAGCTGCTCTCACAGGGGTTGCAGAAGGCAGCTCTCCTGCCACCCAGGACAACCCTGGACTTCTAGGGGGAAAGGTGGCTCTGCTCTGGGATTAAGTTAGAGACAATTTCTCCACTGAAGAGACTCCGGAGCACAAGGCCATGAGCAGAGGATCACTACCACCATGCTACTTGCTCACAAGCTACGCTCCAATTGCTGAAAAGCAAGCGTGCCCTTAGCCTACCCTGTCTGCAAGGCACCGCAAGTTTTAACAACCCTTGTAGAAAGCCAGTAAAGCCCTGGTGCCTCGTTTGCCAGTGGTCACCTGCCCATAGGCCCCAGCACTCTGCCATGCTGGTGCTGAGGCAGGAGAGCACATTGCAAAGCACTGAGAGGAAGATGGGCAGAGACAGAGAAACTGGGACAAGCCAGAGCAGGCAGTGAGGTCCTCTTGGCCCAATGGCCGGGCAAGGATCGACAGCACTCCCAGCCTGCTGCGAGAGGAGATGTGCTCCGCCATGTGCATCTCAGCAGAGAGCTCGTCACCCTGAGGACCAATGCAGCTGCTTTCAACACTGCCAG